CGGCCGCCGAGTTCAAGCCGCTGAGTTCAGGCTGTTGGGCTGACTCAACAAGAGGCCAATAAGACGAGATCAAGATCTGGGAGGAGCTGACCTTCATCCTTCCAGGATGGAGTTTAAAACAATATAGATGGTGGACATCCAGAAAATATCGACCAGTGGTATCCCAGGTTACTGTACCCGAAAAATGAGTCGACTGATCCCGGAGTTGTTTTCTGTAAAGCTCGCCAACATTACTTTGGTAGCAGTTCAGATGTATTTAATAAGCCGTTTGTCACTAAAGCTTTGAGCTCTGAATAAAGCACTGACTGATTTATTCAGATATTCATTCTCCCTGTTGATTCTTATATTTAGTTGGTGATGAATGTAATACACACTGTTTTATATAAGAAAGTACAAAACTCTGCGCTCACTGCAGAGACATCAACTGTTAAATGACATTAGAGGATTTTTGGTGACTTAAGGGTCACCTCAAACAACCTCAACAAAAACCCGACTACACAACATGACACAAAAACTGAAAAACAAATGATGTTATATAAGAACACCAGAACATGAATTCACCTATTTTGTAATACAAGCTTAAAATAAATATTAAGGATTCCGAACGGCCAGATGTAAAGGCAGGAAGACCGACAGACGGGCCGCCATGTACAAGGCTCAAATTGCATAACGGGCCGATGGCCTACATTCACCCCGCTTCCATCGCAGGGCCACACAGAGAGTGTGAGATAAAAAAAAAACGTATGCAAAAGGTTTGGTGTTGCAGATGTGGGTCAGTCCTGAGCCTGCGGTCCTCTTTTACTCTCTCTCTCTGTGGACTCGAGGGCCGAGAGAGGGGTGAGTGTCTGATTCCCTGGAAAGTGCAGCGGCAGCCGGACTGCTAATCTACCTCTTCACCTCCCATCGCTGCTCAGGGGGATTGGGGATTACCACAATGGGATTTAAGATTTATATATTTTATTTTGGATTATTTTTCTATATTCCCACAGACTGGCCGCCCGTCCCTCTCTCTCTCCCTCACTGTGCCTTTGTGTACTGAGATTTCTGTGGAGGGAGGATTCAATCACACTCCGTTAGCGGGGTTCATTTGGG